GATGACAATAATTTGGTTGTTCATCATTAGCGAGAATATCACGATGCTATTTCCGCATTGGAGCATCTAATATCTTGATATGAATGATTGTTACTGTTCTCGTTTGAGACTTTTTGTTCGTAATTATTCTCATCATTTTCAGTTACTTTCAAGTTTTAAACTTTTTAATTGATAACCTAAATTGTGATCACTTTTGTGCTATCCGAAGTTTGCGATTATATTTTATACAATTTGTTTGCTGGAGAACAATTCCGAAACACTATGCATTTTCTGACGTTTTGTATGCTTTTTTGATTGGTAAGGTTGATCCCTAGTCCGATTCTAAGTCCAATCCGAGGTCAGCCTGTTGGGTCTGATTATCCTCATCCTAGACAACTGGAAAATGCCAAGTCTTCCCGATTGTTCCGACAGCAATTCATCGTTATGTTTGTTTCTAACATGGCTGGCATTCAGAATTTTTGTCGTGCAACCGAAATCGCACTATGGCCATCGTTTTTATCGGTTCATTTAATGTTGTTGTGTTTCTAATAAGGTTTTCCCTGATAATTTTTTCAAGTTTACACATATTGGCTTCGTGCTGAACGTATCATTTCGGTATCAATTTCTTAATTGATAACCTAAATTGTGATCATTTTTGTGCTATGTTTGATTGACAGTTAAGACATTGTTGTGTTGTTGTTGTTGTTGTTCCTAATACAATTTCGATTTCAAAATTGCATTGTTAGAGTTATCAATTGACATCAAAATTGTATTATCAGTGGTATCAAGTGATATCGAATTGCATTCATATACATATATGGGCGAGTGATTTTATGGCTATACTTCTAGACGTTCAACATAGGAATTGTCAGCTAACTATTATTAAGAATCCCTTCAGAACCATCACCAGTTAAAATAATATTTCATCTTTTTTTACAGATGCCCAACTCGTTACTTTTTGTGTGCATTGTCGAGAGGGTTGCTTGGTTGTAGTATTCAACTTCTGGATTTCAAATACTTGAATTCCGTTTTGTTTTGGGGCTTGTTTGAAATATGATTAGCGTACAATTTGAATAGGAGCGAGAAGTAAAGGCAAACTGATAAATACAAAACATTTTACTCACGAGATCTTTGAAATAGGAAGACAATAATAAATGAATGGGAATCTTAGAAATACTGAACTGTAACATATGAATAGCGATAACAGCAATAGCAACAACAATAATAAGCCTCAATAGTGAAGCGTAAATAATACTGGAATAAAACATCTGAATTGAATTATAACTGAATAGAGTTCCACAAAAGTAATCTTATTTCAAATTAAATAGTGTTACATCACTTGAGCTAACAGTAGTGATATACATACATAAATACGAACGTTGGTTTGCGTAGAAATTTGAAAACATACAATAGTGAAATGAGCACAAACAGAATATGAAAACGCTCAACAATAATTCTTAATTCATAACGCCGAATAAAATAAAATAACAGAGGTACTAGAATCAAGTCTACTCATCACATTCAGCAATCAGCACTGACACTTCACAACAATTCTAAAATAATTAAACAGCCCGTGTTCATAATCCACGTTTGAGTGAATGATAATTATCAACGAATTATCGTCATTCATTCAGTTTCCATAACCACACGGTAGATCTAAAGGAACGTGATAAACAAATTTCGGCTCCTGGGTCGCTTTATTCACAATGCGCACTTTCAGAAGACCGTTTTCGTCTAGCGTTGACTTCGTAGAATCCATATCGTACACCTTCGGAAGCAAGAATTTCTTCACAAAATGATGTTCAACCCGACATGACTGTTGATTCGGCTGTTCGTCTGCTCGCTCAATGTGATCACCTTTGACGATCAAATGTCGATCGGAGACGGAAATTTCCAAATCATCTTTGGAGTATTGCGATACATCCATCACACAAATAAATTCTTCGTTGGTTATTGTTACCTAAACAATTAATTATTTAGTAACCGTATTTCAGACCGTATTTTCCTCGCTAGATGGTGCAAAGAGACAGTGAAAGAGTCCATGAAAGATAAATTTGGAAAAAAAAGTAATCTGGCAAAAATACTGAAAGAATTTCTGAGACGAACATCGAACATGGATAATAATCGAGATTAGGATCTCGTAATGATTTCCTGTGGTAATCGCAGCTGTGTGGAAGGTATCACTAAATCGCCACGAAAGAAAGAATATGATATTCGTGATATTGAGGCAAAAACGTTCCTTTAAGGCAAAACTGAATACAAACCAAACTGATTGTGAGTCAAGTAAACATTCAATAAATGATAAAACTAACACCGTCGATTGCATCCG